GCTCATAATTACACAGCTCACCAACTCAGAGGACTGTTCTTATTGTTTTATTCATTAATTAACCATTTAGTAACTAATAGTGACTAAATGCCTAATATGTTTATGTTACTGTGGCAAGTGCCATGAGGGATACAAAGATAAAAGAAACTTATCTGATTTCAAGGAGCGGCAAGCCAAGGGCATAAATAAACTAAAACACAAAAATACACAACTTCGACCAGATCAGTATCAATAAAATGATAGGCAGCTTCAGAAATAGGAAAGATCACAGCTTGCAGGAGAAAAAAAATCAGCAAAGTTTTCATGGAAGATAGGATTTAAACTGGGACTTTGATGGTAGACTATTTCACAAGGCAAGTGGGGAGAGCAGTAGAGGAAACACGCTTAAAGATCAGGTGATTAAATGAACTAGATCTACATGTAAATAATTCTGAAAAACAACACTGACAGGGTTGCAAAAAATACCTGCAGTATGATTCTATTTATGATTTCAAAAGAAAACTATATGTTGCTTGTGCCTACATTACACATTTTTTTTAAAGTATAAAAGATAAAATGCAATAATACATACCAATTTAGGCCAGTATTCATTTCCCAGGAAAGAGGAAGGGGATAAGGATGCAGAGCAGGACTTTGGCTATATCTAATACTTAACAGTTTATATCTTAAAGACAGCAAGAAATCTAAAATAAACCTGACAGAATGTTAATATCCACTAAATCTGGGTTGTGGGCTCAAAATCATGTTAGGATTTTTTCCCCTGAACTTATCAAAATATTTAAAATACCTTATTATTCAAAATGTTAAAATTAAGAAAGGCCGGGAGACTGGAAGAATAGGGGAGTCATTCACACAAGAATAATCAGGAGCTGGTTTAGGTTCCCCTAAACTTGAAGAGGACACTTGGCAAGCTCAGCTGAGACTGAAGAGGACCCTTCACATCCCTCAGCCAGTGTGCACAAAAGGCACTGGGAGCAAAGTCGGGGGGCGGGGGGCTGACAAATATGGACAAGAAAAAAGTATTTATTGCCATCCTAGATCAGATAACTGAAGGGAGTGAGAACCACCTTCCCACGTAACTTAAATGCCGGCGTAACCAAGTCATCTCCCCTAAAACAAAGCCAAGGAAACTTCCAGTTACACAGGAATTCAGATAAAGACTCACTATGAGTAGCTATTCTGTGCCTCCTCTCTCTCCACCCCTCCCCCAAACACTCACAAACAAAAACAAAATGTACCCTTGCCCACTTGAGAAAGAATTAAGAATTGGCAGCTCTGCTAAAGTGGACAGTATCCAATCCAAGGCCCTTCTCTAGAGAAGATGTTGACAGAGCCCAGAGGAAGAAGTAAGGAACTCGTAAATCAGTTAAGTTTTGATGAAGGCTTGTCAATGAAGATATCCATCCTTCCACATCCCCCTCGTGTTCCAACCCTCCCAGGGGAACCTAAGGACCTCTAAGATGTCTTCTATCCTATTCTGTTCTTCTCCAGCAAAAAAAGACTTAAAACACAACATCCAAATTCTTACTTTGCACTTTAAACCCAAACAATTTACCTTCACAAAAACCCAACGACATTAAAAACATGGGGAAGAAAGAGGTAGAATCCAAGAATAATGACAAATCTTTTTTTTCTAGATATACTTTTTGCTGGTACCCAATTTATCATAACTTATTTCTTTTACCAAAGTTTCATTGATACAGCTTAAAACTAAGTTTAAAAGAAAACTAGAAGGGAACTTAGCAGGAGAGATAAATACATCTGCACACACAATAAAACAAATACCTTGACATCCCTCCACATCTGAATCACTTGAATCACTGAAGAACTCTAACATCCTAGTCACTCCACTCCAGGGTGTCCATCTGCCCCAGGCCAAAGCCCCAAACCCCCATGGCACTCTTGGGGCAGATATTCCTCAGTCAGACCAGGGAAAATAGCACTGTTCACTCTCGACTAGAAAAAAGGACGATGGAATGAAATGACAGAAGTCCTTCTGTCTTCAAGCACAATGCAGCGTGGCAGAATGGAACAAACATTGCAACAGGACTTGTGAGGGAATTAGAGAGGTGAGCTAACATTTATTAATCACCCACTACATTACAGCCATGAATACTGAATCTCAGACTAAGCCATCACTTCACTACTTCCATGATCCGGAGTAAATCTCAGGTATTCTATCTGAAAGTCAATGAAGGAGACTAAGAAAAAGGAACAGTCCCTCTTGTTCTCTGATTCTATTTCTACAAACATGATCACTCAACAAAAAATGTGTTAGTAAGTTATTTCAAAAGTCTTTTGCTCTGTTCCTCTCCAATCTACTCTCTCTATACCACTGACAAAATAATCTTTCTAGAACATGAAACTTTATCACCCAATGTTTAAAAACCCTTAAATGGCTTATCATTTCATACAGCACAAGATAAAACTGTCCCATGATCAGCCTTACCTACTTCTCCAGCCTCATCCCTGACCTCCAACCCTGTCCTCCAACTATAATATTAATAATTACTTAAACGTTACCTGGAGAAGTCTGGCCGTTTCGTTCCTTTAAGCATTTACTCATGCTGTTTTCTCGGCCTCAAGTGTATGTCTCTCTCGTCTGTAGGGTACATCCTTAACTCATCTTTCAAGACTCAGCTCAAATATCATCTCCTCTGGGAGGCACTTTCCAACCTCTCAACGTCCAAGGCAGAACTGCCCCCTACATACCTTTATCACAACATCAATCACACTTCACTTCATCTATATATTCATCTATCTCCCACTAGACCCATAACCTCCCTGGAGGCAGAGACCTTGTCTAACTTATCTGCTTCCTCAGTGCCTAAGACAGTGCTTACAAGGTAAGACACAAATATCCATCAAAGGATATTTGATGGGGTAGGGAAGACAGGAATTGAAAAGATGAAAAGAGAAGGAAAAACTCGATTAAAATGGCCTGAAGAATAGAGAACAGTAGTGCTTATCAGTACCACTATCTGTGGCCTTCCGCTCTTTCCCTAAGCTCTAGGCTTCAGAGAGCTTATTCGTTTTCTTGGCTAAGCTGTGACAGCAATGTTAATGAACTCCAAAACCATACTTTCAAGCAGTATTTACCCCCACCTCTCCACCAGCTAAGGCTCATCTCTAACAACTGGAACCGCTTTCATTTGGACATTTCGTTGCCACTTTTTAAGTCCAAAACATTTCCAATTGAGCTCATATTTCCCTAAGAAATGAGGAAACCTCCCCGACTTCTTTACTCCAGTCAATGTCTCAGAAACCCAGGCTTAAAATGCCATAGTCACGTTTGATCAATCACCCTCCTTCATCTTCCACATCCAGTCCTCACTGATTTTGATTTTCCCTTCATAATCTTTTTTTTCACTCTTTCCCCTCCACAACCCTAACTCAGGTCTCATCACCACAAACACCACAGGTGCTCACCTCCCTTCCCTCCAAACCAAATCTATTTCCTGTTATCATCATATTATGATCCTAATAAAAAATTCTCAGTGGTTAGCTGTTTTCCATTATTTAAAATCTAAACTTACAAGCCTGACTTCTAAGACCCTCTATAAACCACAGCTCCAAACCAACCTAACCACCTTTGCTTTATGACTATTCACTTCAACTCAGGTCAGTCTCATCACTGCCCCAAGAACACCCCAAGTACATTCCTGTTTCCAAGTTTTTGCTTGATCCCTCCTAGCTCCAAAATGAAATGAATTTTTTTGTTATTTGCTTCATCTTCATTTCTTGCACCTAATACAATTTTCTAAAGATCTGGAGTAAACTACAATTCCTCTGTGATATCACTCATAATTACCTGAGTATCCTTCTCCCAAAATACTTATGGTTTGAGATCTGTATTATGCAATTGATAATATACTTTCACATTTTAAAATTTTCTCTGGCATAAAGAGGCTCAATAGGTATTCACCTCTTTCTACTCCCCTTACTCCCAACTGGACTGTAAATTCCTCAAGGGCACAAAACTGTCATTTTTCCTGATCCTCCATACCACCTAATAGAACCAAATTCACAGCAAGTCACAAAAAATAATAGTTTAGTGGTCTCTCCTATGCAAAACTATTTCTTAAAGTTTAAGGTATAAGACATAATTCTAAAAAACACAGTTACAAATAATCCTGGACTAAACTGCATAAATGAAAATGCCTGATTTTTCCAACTCTGAATTTTAGCTCAGAAATACAATCTCCTGACTTCAGTGGTAAATAATAATCCTGTGCCCATGACATCACAAGCACATAGTTTGGTAATGATTATGAGAAGGCTGGGGTAGGCAAGGATGAAGGAAAACAAGGCAACTGAAAGGACAAGGATGGAAGAACAGCTGTGTGATTTTTTGTTTGTTTGTTTGTTTACTTCTTAAGTGTGGACACATCTCCTTCCTTTTTCTATTTTTTCTTAAATTGGCCATATTTTCAACAAGTTTACTTCAGGAGGAAAAATCTAATAGATTTTTCAAAGGAGCTAATACCTGCAGAGCCTCTAGCTCAAATCCTTTGAAAAGGCCAGCTTAATCTTCAACAATGTAGTATGATGCAACAGGACTCCTCCAAGATATTGTGAGTAAAGACTTATTCAGAATGCAACATAGGCATCTTCTACCAATCGCTCTTAGGAATAAAGCAGACAGCCTGAGAGGCCACATTGGACCCACACAGATTTTGAAAAGAAACTGGTCTTCATTAACAGACTCAGTGTAGCCCAGTCTTAATTATCCTCATATGGACTGTTCATTTTATGGATTTCTGAGGCAAAATTTTTAATTCAAGACTGATGGTTCTTGACTATCAGTATATTTTCCAATCAGGTAATTCAGGTTTAGAAACAGAACTGCAAATTCATTCCATCAGTATGATCCCCAAACACTAAAGTATGATTTTTAAAACAAGAGATTTCTTAAGCTCTGAATTACCTAAACTAGTGCTCCCTACAATAGCAGAGGTAACTGAAAGTCAAATGCACTTGAAACATAACACTGTCCTTACCATAAGCTTGAAGAGAATCCAACCATAGTCACACGACTGCCTCACAGGCTGGTACAATGAGAGACAGTAACAAGCAGAGTTCAACATAGTAAGGTGTGTGAATACAAAGACTTCTACAAGGAATCTCAGGTCTCCTGGCTGATCTCTTTAGGCCTGGACAGTCCAGAAAAGAAGGAGAGGCACAATGTACTGGTGCTTCACTCCTTGCCCCTGAGTTCCTGGACCAGAGGGCTCACTTCCCACTAAATCCATCCTTTGTTCAAGGACCTACAATGACTCTATTGACCCTTTCATCAACACCCAACAGAGTCTGGCCTCTGAGTCCCCCCCACCCTCTCGCCTGCTCTACCCATGACTTGAGCAACCCACATTTTCTCTAGTCATTCTTATTTATTCTCCCCACAAACACAACTTAGTCATTCATACCATACTGCACACTGTACATTTTATACTTTCTGCCCAGATCTATTTCCTTTTACTCCCAACACAAAATAACTATTTCACTTACTTGCTCACATATATCATATAAAGATGAAGAAGTAAATTGTCCAAGGTCACAGAAGAACCACAATTTGAACCAAGATCCACCTAATTTCATATCCCACGCATCATTATGACTCTAATCCATAACTTCCCAAGTCCATTTCAAATTTTCCTGATTCAAATCTTCTCTAATTTACCTCGTTCATACTTTACTTAAAATTTTCTAGTCTTCACGTATCCCATTTGTAGCACATTAAACATGGTTTTGTTTACACGCTTTTCCTAAATGTTAAAGCTTAAACAGTCTGCCTTCTCACTTATATACTGTCTTCCCCAACATCACCCTTCTCCCAAGGGCAAGAACACCTGTTTTTTACATCTTTTGTATCTCCCAAAGCCTGTCACTGGAGCTTGGAGACTGTCTTATCCATAGGAGTGTTCAATCATTATTCAGTAAGGATTTATTACTTTAAAAAAATCAACTTCCTTCTTCTATCATACTGAAAAATCAACTAATTTCAGGCATTCATGAAAAAGCTTTTCTGCATCTATATTCTAGTTACACCATCTATATTCTAGTTACACAGATTTTAATTATCTCACTTATCAGGCGCTGCTGAGTGGATTCCAGGCTGCCACTCCACAGCTCCTAAGCTTGCATAGGAAAGATACTGCTGAAGTCATACTTCAAAGCATTGTTTCAGGATCTTTTCCCTGATGGGATGAGTGTCTGGAGTAAGGAGAAAGAGTGCTCCCTTACAATGCCCTCTTCCAGCATACTTAGCATGCTTAAGACATTCAGGAGCTCTAAAACTTTAACAAGTGGCCCCATAACAATCTGAAAACTTCAATTTAATACTGAGTTAGTCCATCATAATTCATTTGATAACGTATATTGACACTCCAAATTACCAACAAAGCCTGCTGAGAACTGAAAATAGTGATGGGCTATTGGGTTGCCCTACACTTATTCTTAGATTTTATTCACCCCTTCAATCCTCACCCCTAACCCCAACCCTGGGAATAACACAGGCAGTTCAACTAGGGGAAGTTGCTAAATACAGATATAAGCTGAATTTGCCACATATCATCACTAATAATGGCACCAACTAACACAAATTAAAACAATTATTGATAGTCAACAGATTCCGGGACTGTGTGTGTAATTTTGAAAAATTAGATATTACCATACAAATTAAATCATTTTCAATAGGAGCCCCAAAGAAAGAGATTAAGGGAAAAAAGCGTCAGGAAAATTTCCAAGTTACTGGCAACATAACTGCATCAAAGTCCAACTAATAATTAAAATCCATTACTGGTCAGCCTGCCTTATACAAGTCAGTATACAGACCTTCCTTTAACAAAGGTTCACTTTTTTTTTTTTACAAGGAAGTCTTTGGCATTAAATGAAAGGGATAAGTCAAAGTAGGCATCAACAACAAAAATGATAGTTTGGAAACTATTTTCCTTCTTTCTTTCCTGCTTCAACGCATACTGTCCAAAGTGGGTATCGGTTCAATTCTAAATTATTCATTCATGTTAATGGATGATTATCAGTAGAAAGGTGCTGATAATCCAAAATGGAAAAAATCAAAAAATAATCTATTTCAGTTTTGGAAAATCTTTTCAGTACGTTTAACTTTCAATTACTCTTAGCATGACCTAATATGTGTATTCATTTCTAATCTCTAAGTACATAGTAACTGGCCACCAACTTAGGAAGCGCTCCGAGGCATGCCGAGTAGCCAGTGGAAATTAGAACAGACTGGTATTCGGCTTCCCCGTGAACAACATCAATTTCATTTATTTTACAGTTCTGTCCAGCCTTCAAAATATCAATAGACTAGCACAGCAGGTTGGTTATTAACCTTTAAAAGAAAGGCTGGGAAAAACAATGAGGACAAAGAGTATAATTGTTTGCCCATAATGTATTCATTTGTAAATTATGCACAGCAAATGTTTAATTACAAGCCTGATTCTCCCTAGCCACCCAGCCTAAGTCCCTACCGTCTTCTCCATCAAGAATGCGACCTCATTTATTAGGAAGGAAATTTTCTCTCTTTTAAAGTTACATAGTATAGAAAACGTTTTTAAAAGATTTAAGACTAGCTACCCTTATGGACCCACCTTCCTACTACTTCTTCCCTCTGTCTTTTCTCACTTCAGAAATAGGTTGAAAGACAAAGGGTTCCAGCGTCCTCTAACATCTAAATATACAGGATGATAAGTCAAACACTAAACAATTAGCCGTTTCTGATTTTATAGAAAGTATTTTATACATATATGAACTACAAGTCAACTAATTTTTGCCTTTGCATTCATGAAAACTCCCTCAAGAGCTGGGGAGAATCTCTTATATAAAATCTATTTTAGTTTAATTTTTATATTTATTGTGCCCAGAGAGGCCACCTAGGTTCCAGAGACAGACTACCTATACACAGAGGGAGAGAAGGGTGAGAAAAAGAGAGAGGAAGAGGGACAGAGAGGGGGAGAGAGAGGCTCAGAGCGCTGCTCCTTGTGAGCCGACAAGCTAAAAATACGCCGGCCCAGTAAACAAATCCCATTCCATCCAGACCGGAGCCACACCGTTAACCTAGTAATTATGAGAAGAGGAGTGAGATCACGCAGCCCCCGGCTTACTCATCATCAGCTTCTAAAGTTTCCATCGGCTCATGGCAACTTTTCTTTTTTCCAAAGTTCATAAGCCTACCATAGAATCAATCTCTCTATCACTCTCTCTCATATACACACTTCTTTTTCGCTCCCTTCCTCCATTACTGGACGCACCTCAGTTTAACTAGCGATATGGCAGAACAGTTTGGTTTCTGCTCATTTTACTTTTGAGACTTTAAAATGAACTTTATCGTACTATGAGAGTAGTAGCCGGCACTCCTGGCCACCTTAAAATTCCACCATCCCTCCCCGAAAGTCTAGCTGATAAGGAGAACCGTCCAAGTTGCCCAGCACAGCTGAGGAAGGGAGGCCACGAACGGGGAAGGGGGGCTGGGAAGGTGGGACGCAGGTGAAAGGGAGGGGTAACGGGAGAGAGGTTGGGACCAAGCAAGGAACGGTCAGGGCGAGGAGGGGGTGCCGAGAGGAGACGGCTCCGGGTGAAATACAATCAGAAAGGAGAAGAGGGACAGTGGCGATCAGAGGGTCAGAGTTTGGGAGTCTGAAGAGGCGGGAGGGGCGGGAACAGACGGGGGAGGGTGACAATGCGGGGGCTCCGTTACCCTCGCGGCTCCTGGGGCAAGGCCCTAGGCCGGGGCGGAGCGCGGGGCCCGGCTGCCTCTCCTCATTCCTCGGCTGTGACCCAGGGGTCCGGCCGGCCCCTCCCCCGTCGACGATGGAGGCGGAGGCGTTGGCTGAGACTGAGACCGCGGCTGTTGCTCCGCACAGGATCAGGAGCTGGAGCCAGACAGGACTGATCTAGACTGGCTTCCCCAGTGGCTTTTTGCCTGCTCCACACTCGGTCGCCACTCGCACTCCCGGCTGCTGGTTCAGGATCGGTGGTTTTCGGCCGTCCGGCCGGAAACAAGCGCCAGTTTCCGGCCGGAGCTGGTTGGTGGTGACACCCAAGCGGCCCCCGAGGCTCCTCCCGCCCCGCCCCGCTCGGCCCGGCCCCGCCCGGCCCGGCCCGGCCCGGCCCCGCCCGGCCCGGCCCGGCCCGGCCCCGCCCGGCCCGGCCCGGCCCGGCCCCGCCCGGCCCGGCCCGGCCCGGCCCCGCCCCGTAACAGCCCCGCCCTGAGCGCCGCTCCCCTGGCTGCGACCAGTTTGGCGCTTGCCCTGCTCATGAACCCGTGTTTTCCTGGCTGGTGTTCCTAAAATCTCTGGTCTGGAGAGTTCTTGAGCCGGAGCTAGATCGGTACTGGGTGGACTCTTGAGACTTTGAGGTGTAGTCAGTTGGACACAGCCCTTTGGGAAGAAGCAGAAAGAGGCGGGGTAGTTCTAGAAAGGTGAGAGGGATGAAAATTCTCAGAGAACCAGAAGACTGAAATTCTAGTTACCCTACTCGATTATTCTGGACTGACTGGGGGGAAATTAACAACGCTTCTTTTAGATCTATCTCCACCCAGTTATGCACTCTCTCTCTCCTTCACTCATGTAGTGAACATGCTTTTCTCTATAAACACTCTATTTACTTGCATAACAATTATACCCTCTTGACATATCTACTTTAGACAGCGCAATCAAAACAAGTTTTGTTGTGCTTTTTTGGTAATGCCTTTTAAACTGTGCTAATGCCTTTAAACTATGCTATCGCATTGTTCAATTCACAAATATTGACTCCCTGCTGTGTACAAGGCATTGTGCTCATTGATATCGGGATCACAAAAATGAATAAGACATAATTCCAGGCATCAAGGGCCTTACACTTTAGTAAAACACATAAAGTGAAAGTGTTAGTCACTCAGTGATGTCCAGCTTTTTGCAATGCCATGGACTGTAGCTCACCAGGCCCCTCTGTCCATGGAACGCTCCAGGCAAGTGAGTAGCCATTCCCTCCTCCAGGGGAATCTTCTCCACCCAGGGATCGAACCGTGTTGCAGGCAAATTCTTTACGATCTGAACCACCAGAGAAGCCCGTATTATATAAAGCAGAACTCACGTTAAGTGCTGTGTGAGTTAGGAGGACCTATGGCTATGAGAACATAAGCCTTGCCTGGCACATAGCAGACTTTTCATATTTGTTGAGTGAATAAAATATTAGACAAACGTTGACTGTTTTAAGTAAGAAGAGACGTTTAAAAACAACCTGTTTATGACAAACACAAAATAGGGCCAAAGAAATGGTGAATTTTAATTCAGATTCATAACATTGTGGCAACTGGTTTGCATTTTCAAAATATTGTGCCCATTAGGCCTATTTAAAAACAAATAGTTGACTTTTCTGTCCCCTGACTACTTTCTGAAGTCCTCAGATTCTAAAGGGAAGGAGAGGAGCATAGACACTTGAGAATTATCCAACTCAAGACCAGAAAATTGACACCTGAAACAGGAAACTTCCTAGACAGCTACATCTCTTGGTAGTATCCTGAGTTTAGAGTTGAAGATTTTGAGCCTGGGACCAAACTAAGGTCACACCCACCCCCTTTGCCAGCTAAATCTGAAGTAGGAGGAAAGGTCCACAGATGAGGAGTCAAAAATCTAAAGCTGTCTTGTTTCACTAAGGCCCTCCCAGGACCAGGTTATGCCCATCTGTTAACTATGTCTTTCTAGTCTTGACTCCACTACCACAGACTTATTAGGACCAGGTAGACATTCAAAGGCACACTCCACCCTCAGTACAAGGCCAAATGTTACTTTTTGGCAGTGACTATGAAAAGTTTCCAAACTTGAAAGCTGGGCCAAGTTGCTGGTCAAACTCATTTAAGTGACCACACTTTACAGGCTTGTCTGGAAATGTAGGGGCCAGGAAGTGATGGAGCTGCAGTTGCTGTGTGCCTGTTTCTTGCTCTGGACCATCCATCACTCATTGTTTGTGCAGTTGCTCAATGGACTGCTTGTTTTGGGTTAGCCCAGGCTGTGTGGGTAGCAGTGTGGTCAGCTGGGCTGGAAGCCAGGCCACCTGGGTTCTGGTCCCGGCTCAGCCAGCCCCTGATCCATTAAGGGACTCCCTATTCCTACGTGTCAGTTTCTCTGCCTAGGATCAGGGGACCTCTTTTGTAGTGATGTGGTCACTCAGGCTGCCACTATGCTAAACTCTCCGAAGCAGCTGTCCGGTGTCATTGTCAGCAGCCAGAACACAGGTGGTTATTTTTTCTGATAGAAGAATAGCAAGGAAAGAAAGTAAAAAACAGCAGAGAAAGCCCTACCTGTGTACCCAGGACCACACACCCTTATCTGCCAGTCAGTACAAAGTTCTCCTCCCTAAAGGCTTGTTTCTGTGATTCTAAGGGCTGCTCCAAGGAGTTCCCAGAGCTTTCACTTCACTTTATGCAGGAACAGAAAAAAAGAGCTTTGCCTTTTCTGCAGAGGAACTAAAAGGAGAAATTATTTCAACACTGGGGCTAATGGATAGACTAGAGGGAAATGTTCAGAGAAAGCTATTTTGCAGCTAACCAGAAAAAAAAAAAAAAAAACCAGCAATTGTTTGCGTTTATATGGTTTTGTGGTAGAAAAGAAAACCAAACCAAAATAACTTCCTTTTCACTACTATCACTATAATTTAGCCAGTGGTTATGTGGAGTTTTAAAAACTACATATTGTTTGTGCCTGGGAACCTCAGAGGACTAACTCAGAACTCTTGGGACTGAGGACCATGAATCTCTATTTTTAAAAAATATCCACAGTTCTTATAAAGTGAAATGTTTTCCTACCCTGCGGTGACTGGCGGTTTAGTCACTAAGTTGTGTCCAACTCTTGTGACCCCATGGACTGCAGCCCACCTTGCTCCTCTGTCCATGGGATTTCCCAGGCAAGAATACTGGAGTGGGTTGCCATTTCCTTCTCCAGGGGATCTTCTCAAACTAGGTGTCAAATGCATGTGTACCTACATTGCAGGCAGATTCTTTACCACTGAGCCACCAGGGAAGCAAATGACCGAGCAATTCCACTCCTAGGTATTTACCCAATAGAAATGAAAACATGTTCACAAAAAGCTTTTATGTAAATGTTCATAACAGCATTATTCGTAACAGGTCCAAACAGGAAATATTTCAGATGTCTACCAATGGAAAAATGACAAATACACTAGTCAAAAAATGGAATACAATCTTTAAAAAATGAACCCTATTTAAACACCACCAAATGGACAAATCTCAAAATCATTTGTTGAGGAAAAAGAAGCCATTTATATGAAATTCGAGAACAGGCAAAAGTAACCTTGATGACAGAAATCAGAGTTATAGTTGCATACTGGTGGAGGTAGGGATTGAATAGAAAGGGGACACAAGGGAACTTTTTGAGGTGATAGACATGTTCTGTATCTTGACAGTGATCACTGTTACACATGTATGTCAAATTGTGTACTGAAGATCTGCACATTTCACAGTGTGAACGTTACCTCAATTTAAAAAATAGAAAAAAATCTTGGGTTCCTTCATAACAATTAAATTATAAATTTACATTTTTTCATCCATTAGATTGCAAATGTTCACCATTTTTTAGTTATAGTACCTGGCATACTGCTTAACCCATGGCAGTCATTCATTAGATATCTACTGAGTGAATGAATGAATGAATGAAGAAACTGACAGCTGAGACCCATTGCTTTGGTAGCAAATATCAGACTCTATTTATACTAGAGTCACATCTAGACTTCGAATAATATAACTGGGTCTATTTCCAGGCCTTCTATTTGCTTGCATACCTTTGCTAGATTATGCTTCCTAAAATGTTTCATCGCTATTTTCCTTTCTTTTCAAAAGCTGTAGCAGCATGTTGGCCACTTAACCAGTATCCATTCCCCTTCTCTCCCTTTGCTTATAGAATCCTGATCACGTTTAAGCGGTCATCGTTTTCAGTGTGGCCATGGACTTCAGGGAGATTGACTCCAGTGGAGGGTGGGGACTAAATGGGAGGGAGATGGGTGAAACACTGATGGATCTAAACCAATCACAGGGATCATTGCCCTTGCCAGTGCCCAGCTTAAGAATATGATAAAATTCTCTCCAAAGTGAGATCTGAGGAAGTCAACTAGACTTCCTTGCTCTTACAAAGAGACAAAGAAAGAGAAATAAGAAATGATTCTTTTCTGCTGCTGAGTGTGGCTGGATTTGGAGCTGCTGGTCTGTTTGGAGGACAAGGTTACATACTAAGGATGGCAGAGCAAAAAAATGCAAAGAATCTGGGTCTTGGGTGAACTGCTGAATTAGCCAACCCTCAACCATCCTCCTTGAAATTCTTATTATGTAATAATACATCCTCTTTATTGTTTAAGCCACATTGAACTTAGTTTTTCTATTGCTTGCAATGAAAAGCATCTCAGCTAATATAGCCATCAACAACTCCTTAGTATCTATAAAATGAAGCCAGAGTTCTTCAGTCTGCCCTGTAAGATCCTATATAACCTGATCCCAGTCTAGTACTAACTCCAGAAAGTGGCTTGTTAACTTCCATCTCTCCATTTGTGTTCTGCTTTCTTTACCACCAGTGGTAAATATTAACAACCAGCTCTCCAGGTGGAAAAGGCCCTGATTTATAGCATTTACCAATTTCCATGGTGTAAATATTCCTGCTCTGATTAATTTCATGCT